GGCAGTGCCGTGACGTGGTGTCGCCCCCTGCAGCCCAAGCCCTGCCAGTACTGCAACATCATCGCGGCGTTCATCGGCAACAAGTGCCAGCGCTGCACCAACTCGGAGAAGAAGTACGGCCCGCCCCAGCCCTGCGAGCAGTGCAAGCAGCACTGCGCCTTCGACCGCAAGGACGACAGGAGGAAGGTCAGCACCGCCGGGGGAGGGGCCCGCAGGGCACCAGGGCTGGGCACAGCCATCGGCCCTCCCTCTCCTCCTGGGTTTCCAGAGGAGGTGTCTCCTGGTTGTAAGGTCGAGCTCTGCGTGGGGGCTGTTGAATCTCTGCTCAGATCTTTGTCAGGGCTGCTGAGAAGAGCCCTTGAGTTTGGCCTAGGGGTACTGGCAAAGGAGAAAGGGCTTCTGAGAATTTTTTGGTGCCTGCTCAAGGAGGAGTGGGAGAAGGATGAGGATTGGGAATGGTGTTTGTGCCATAGCCTGAGGGGCTGGAAGTGTCCTGCCTCCACCAGGAACCCATTCCATGGCCTCTGCCCACCCTTTGCTTACACAGCACCAACACAAGTGCTCTTTAGGAGGTGTGTGTTGCCCAGGCCTGCTGCCTGCAGCCTGTCAACATCTCTTCTGCCTTTGGGCTGCACTGATGATCCCTGTCCTTCTGGTGATCCTCCTTGAGCTGAGACCCTTGGGTTTGCTGTCCAGTGAGTAACCTGTCCTGGGCATTGCTCTGACAGAAATCCAACAAGAGCTCTCCTGGCTTGGTGAATGGCTGCTGTGAGGTGGTCTGTAAGCAAAGCTTGGCAGGGGCTGTAGTTAGGGCAGATAAGCTGCTATTAATGACTGCTCTCTGCATTGCACCAGCCACACCAGAGGCACTCCTCACCCTTTCCAGGCACTTCTGACCTTTTTGAGTTGCTGCTTGTTCATACATCATGAAAAGCCCCCTCTGCTCTGGTGAGACCTCATCAGACCCCCCTGCAGTGCTGGGGCAGCTCTGGAGTCCTCAGCACAGCAGAGCCAGGGACCTGCTGGAGCGGGGCCAGAGGAGCCCCAGCAATGCCCCGAGGGGGGAACCCCTCTGCTGGGAGCCCAGCAGGAGAGAGTTGGGGTTGTCCAGCCTGGAGAAGAGAAGGCTGCAGGGAGACCTTCTGGTGGCCTTTCAGGACTTCAAGGGGCCTGTCAGAAAGCTGGGGACAGACTTTTGAGCAGGGCCTGTTGGGACAGGACAAGGGGGGATTGTTTGAAACTCAAAGAGGGAGATTTAGACTAGAGAGGAGGAAGGGATTTCTGACGCTGAGGGTGGTGAGCCCCTGGCCCAGGCTGCCCAGAGAGGTGGTCGCTGCTCCATCCCTGGAACCATCCCAGGGGAGGTTGGCCGGGGCTCTGAGCACCCTGCTCTAGCTGCAGATGTCCCTGCTCCCTGCAGGGGGGTTGGACCAGATGACCTTTGAAGATCCCTTCAACCCAAACCGTTCCACAATTCCAAGTTGCTTCTTGTCTCCTCCAGCTTGTTTTGTGGGCAGACCAAAGCTCCCCCCTCTGTTTCTCCCTCCCCCAGGTGGATGGCAAGCTGCTGTGCTGGTTGTGCACTCTCTCCTACAAGCGTGTCCTGCAGAAGACCAAAGAGCAGTGCAAACACCTGAGCAGCTCCTCCCGGGCCAGCCTGCAGGAGAAGGAACAGTACAGCAGGCTCAGCGGGGGCAGCCACTACAACAGGTAACCTGCAGGAGCATTTTTGGGTCGTGCCAGCCCAGTTTGGCTCTGGGGTGAGCAAACAGGGTGCCCTGGGAGCTTCCTGAAGGAACTGGGAGAGGCGCCGGGGGCTTTCATTGTGCTTCAGGAGAAGCTGGCTCAGTCAGGCTTGGCTGCTTGGCAAACCCTGCTGTGCTGGAGTAGATTTGGAGTCCAACAGCTCTTCTTAGAGCTTCAGCTGACTCAACGTGTGCCCAATTAAAGCTAAATTGCACTTGTGCAATTTAACAATGGAAATGGAGGTTTGAAGCCCGAGTTCTTCACCTGATCTGAGTGACACGTTGTTTTCTGTTTAGTTTCAGTCTCCAGCTACTCTTCCAGGAATGAATTTTTTATCATTCTTTCTCCTGCAAGGAAATATTGTTTGAATAGGTTCAAAGTGGGTGGGAATATTTAGCTGGGTCTCTGTCTTTGACTGCAAGTCATTCAGGCTCTGACATCCAATTTCCTCATTTTTCTAGCCAGAAAACCTTATCCACCTCTTCTATTCAGAATGAAATCCCAAAGAAGAAAGCCAAGTTTGATGCCATATCTGCCAATGGTGACAGGTGAGCCCCTTACAAGGGGAAATTGAGGGTGGGCCTTGTTTGCTAAGATTGTATAAGAGAGTTCTGTGTGAAGAGCAGGAAGCTCTTGTGCTAGAGCAGGGGTCTTGGGCTCTGGGACCTGGGTTGGGACAATGCTTGGTATCAGCCTGGAGAAGAGAAGACTCTGGGGAGACCTTCTGGTGGCCTTTCAGGACTTCAAGGGGCCTGTCAGAAGTATGGGGACAGACCTTTGAGCAGGGCCTGTTGTGATGAAAGGACAAGGGGTGATGGTTTGAACCTCAAAGATTTAGACTAGAGAGAAGGAAGAGATTTTTGGTGCTGAGGGTGTTGAGCCCCTGGCCCAGGCTGCCCAGAGAGGTGGTTGCTGCCCCATCCCTGGAACCATTCCAGGGGAGGTTGGACCAAGCTCTGAGCACCCTGCTCTAGCTGGGGATGTCCCTGTCCCTGGAGGGGGTTGGACCAGGTGACATCTAAAGGTCCCTTTGTCCCCAACCAGTCTGTGATTCTGTGACCCTGAGGTCAGAGCAGCTGCCTCAGCAGAAACCAGGAGCCCAGTGTTACTTGCCATTTAGACACAGATTTGCAGAGCAAAAGCATATCCATCACCTGCACTGCTAGAGCAGGAGCTGCTGCTCAGCTGAGCTCCCCAAGAGCCCCCAAAATCCTGCAGCCAGGGCAGCTTTGCTGGGGGGCCCCTGACCCCCTCCTGCTGCCGCGGTCGGTGCCGGGTCGCGCCGCGAGGTCGCTGGCAGCAACGGGAGGTCGTGGTGGATTCTTTTTTTAGATTGGATTTTAGTTTTGGTGGTCTTGTACATGCATATTTTCATTCCTGCCTTTCCTCTCTGATTCTCAGCGTTCCTTCCTCTCCCGAGATGCTTTGTCCCCCTACCCAGAGTGCCCCGTCCGCCTTGGCGCAGTGGGCTGCGTCCCAACAGAGTCTCGGTGCCCACCATTGTCCTGTTTCTCAAGGCACTGACATCCTGAAGTGAGATCACCTCTTGTTTTCTCCCCTGTTGCCCGTCCTCCCTCCCTGGGAACTGCCTCAAACCTGGAACCTCTCCCTCTCAATGGAGCTCTTTCCAGTCAGCACTTGAATGGGGAGCACGGACCAGAGCGTAGGCTCGTTAGTGCCAAAGGGTCTGTGAAAGCCACTGGTAATTAATGAATCCCTCCTTCCCTTGAATGTCATTGCTTTGAGGGTGGCAGAGCCTGGAGCAGCTGCCCAGAGAGGCTGTGGAGTCTCCTGCTCTGGAGAGATCCCAAACCTGCCTGGCTGTGACCCTGGGCACCCTGCTGTGGGTGAGCTGCTGGAGCAGGGGGTTGGAGGAGATGATCCCCAGAGGTCCCTCCCAACCCCACCATGCTGGGGTTCTGGGATTCTTTCAGCTCACAGGTCACATCTTTCCTCTAGACACCATTGGCACCTTGTCAGTATCTGTTAATATGGGAAATGCTACGATGGGAGGTACAACTTGAGTAATTCTGTAGGGCAGTGGTTCCCATGGAGTGGTCTGCCAGACCATTTATCACCTGAATCATGTTTTCAGGTAAAAGTTAGAAGAAAAAGAAGGATTAACTGTGTCTTGGAGCAGTCAAAGAACTCATCTGACTGCCTTCAGTGCTGGTGGAGCCAGAGGAGAGACTGGAGACAGGTCCCTGGTAGAACTGGTGCAGCCCATCAGCCTTACTGCAGCTTTCCCTCTAGAGAGGCTCCTGCTCACCTACTGAAGCTGGGCTGTGGGGCAGCACCAGATATTTTTACCTGCTCACTAAAGCCTGGGCTGAGACATAACAACTCATTGTCCTACCCCTGCTAGCTTGAAAATAGCCAAGAAGGAAAATGCCCCAGGTTCTGGCATCTGTTGCTCAACCATTTGGTGACAAAACAGAATATTCTGGAGGAACCAAAGGCTTTCACTTGGCTCTTGGCTCAGCTGTTGTCAGACCCCAGGTTCTGGCATCTGTTGCTCAGCCATTTGGTGACAAAACAGCATATTCTGGAGGAACCAAAGGCCTTGACTTGGCTCTTGGCTCAGCTGTTGTCAGCCTGGCTCCTACCAGGGCCCTGGGCCTTGCCACAGACTTTTTCTGATGAACCCCAGTAACAAGCCACGTGTGATTTGAGCAGCTCCTGAAGAGCTCCAGCAAGGTGCTGTAGAAATATTGAGCTGCAGCTGCCTCACATAGACACGTGGCTGGGTTCCTTGAGTGGAATAATGATGGTAGCTCATTAAGTGTGTTTTTGGAGTGGCTGGGGGTGTTTTTTTGTGAGGATGAACCCCCAAAACCCTTCCTCTTTTGCACCATTTATCTCCCCAGAGCCAGCCTGGAGTCTGGGTCTCAGCCAGAGTGTGGAGTCAGGGGCTGTGGCAGCACGAGGGTGTTCTCAGCAGCAGCACAGGCTGGAGTGCCTGCTGCACAGCTGAGGTCAGCCACAACTTTTTGGGTGGTGTGTCTTGGCTCCAGCCAAACTTCTGGTGGGCAGAACTTGGGCATATAGAGCTCGGTTGACTTTGGCAACACCTCCAAGAGGGCACAGCTTATCTGAAATGGCTGCTCCACTTTGGATACCATAGGAAGGCTTTTACTGTGTCTCACTGAATTCCCTCTGGCTGTTTTTGTTCACATATTTCTGTGGCTGTTGCTCCCAGTGGCTGTGACACAGGGACCAAGAGATTTCCAGTGATCATTTCATGGGGGGTGTTGAGTGTTCATTTTGAGGGAGCTCTGTGAGGAGCCAGCAGCACTGCCCCTGCTGCACAGGGAGCTCCTGCTGTGACTAGGGCAGGGATCAGCCCCTGTGCTCAGCTCCACACCTCAAATCCTGGGGTCAGTTCTGGGCCCCTCACTCCAAGAAGGACCTTGAGGGGCTGGAGCGTGGCCAGAGAAGGGCAACGAAGCTGCTGGGGAAGGGTCTAGAGCCCAAGTGTGGGGAGGAGCAGCTGAGGGAGCTGGGGGTGCTGAGCCTGGAGCAAAGGAGGCTCAGGGGAGACCTTCTGGCTCTGCAAAGCTCCTGACAGGAGCCTGGAGCCAGGGGGGGGGCGGGCTCTGCTCCCAAGGCACAAGGGACAGGACAAACGCAAA